GAGGACGTCATCGAGGTGGACGAGCGGATTGTCCCCGAGCAGAGCGATTGTCACCTGCCCGGGAGTGACACCTGGCAGCGGGTGCAAGGTGGGCGGCACTGCCAGTGTCACCTGTGTGACGTCACACCTGGGCACGGGGTGGGCGGCACTGCCAGTGTCACCTGTGTGACGTCACACCTGGGCACGGGGCGGGTGGCACTGCCAGTGTCACCTGTGTGACGTCACACCTGGGCACGGAGCGGGTGGCACTGCCAGTGTCACCTGTGTGACGTCACACCTGGGCACGGGGCGGGTGGCACTGCCAGTGTCACCTGTGTGACGTCACACCTGGGTACGGAGCGGGTGGCACTGCCAATGTCACCTGGCAGGTGGCACTGGGTGGTTTTGGGGTTTTTTGGATTTTTGGGGGTTTTTTTTTTTTCGGGATTTTGGGATTTTTTGAGGTTTTGGGGATTTTTTTGAGGTTTTTTTGGTTTTGGGGGAAATTGGAAGATTTTGGGGTTTTGGGGATTTTTATGCTTTTGGTGCTTTGGGGGTTTTGGGGGGGTTTTGGGGTTTTTTGGGGTGTCCTGACCCCCCCCGTCCCCCCAGGCTGTTCTGGGGTGACCCCGCTGGTCCCATGAGGGGGATTTTGGGTTTTTTGGGGGATTTTGGGATTTTTTGGGGTTTTGGGGTTTTTTTTGGGTTTTTTGGGGTGTCCTGACCCCCCTGTCCCCCCGGGCTGTTCTGGGGTGACCCCGCTGGTCCCATGAGGGGGATTTTGGGATTTTTTGAGGTTTTGGGGGTTTTTTGGGGATTTGGGGGGTTTTTTGGGGTTTTTTGGGGTGTCCTGACCCCCCTGTCCCCCCCCGTCCCCCCAGGCTGTTCTGGGGTGACCCCGCTGGTCCCATGGGGGGGATTTTGGTTTTTTTGGGGTGTCCTGACCCCCGTGTCCCCCCAGGCTGTTCTGGGGTGACCCTGCTGGTGCAGAGACCCCTGGACCTGGCGCGGCTCCGGGCGGATCTCGAGGGGCTCCTGGCCCGCGGC